AGCTCTGATGCCCTCAACCCCATGTGGCTGCAGAGAGGGCACAGCCTGAATTGGGGTTGCCCTCAACTCCTGGCTTGTCCTTACTCAGGGGGAAGCCCCCTTCCTTTTGTTCCTGATGCTTGTATAAGAAGTGGCAAATAAATGTCCCCCAGACACCTTCTCAAGGTCACCAAAGCCCAGGCAGCACCCTCCAGGTGTCCCAGCTGCACATGTCTGGCCGGCCCAATTGCTCCCACGTGGATGCTGCAGACACACTTTGGGGGTTGCTGTGACTTCTCTAGCCATAACCTATCCTCTGAGGTGGAGGACGAGGCAAGAAAAAAGGGAAATCTAAAGAGTCTCAAAAGTAAAAAAACCCAGAATTTAAAAAACTTACTCTGTGTTTAGTATACTGAGCTTTTATAGCCCTGTTGATGACTTTCCATTTTTAGCCTGGTAGCATGTGTTTGTACACTGAGTTTTCTAACTCAGACTCTGAAACTGTGGAAGTTCATTCCTTGTTCATCTTCTCTGTGTTCTGAATTTTAACTTTTTTGTTTTTTTAAAAAAATTACAGTAGAAACTAAATTTTCCTATCTCAATTGCTTAATTCAATTTATTATTTTTGCATTAAAGATTTAATATGGAAATAAGATAATATAATTTCATCCTGAAATCTATGTAAACTGCCAACAGTAGTTCTGTTTATTGATAAATATATTAGATTTACCCTCCTCTTGGTAAGGAAGCAAATTCTAGCATGACTTCCTGCTGTAATACCTCCCTAAAACCAGTACCAGAATTTTGGTTTCTGCACTATTGAGCTATAGTCCATATTAGGCATGGACCTTTTGACTCTAATCAGGTTATGTCCCATTAATCCAGCTCATTCCCTATGTTTTGGATGTGTGTATTCCATGGACAGCAGTGGATAGCACCTACCAGTAAATATCTGTACGTTACTTGATAGTCTAGAGAACTGTGAGTCCCAGAGGAAGATTTGAATAGATAGTATCAGTTCTTATGTCCTCAGATAAATGTAACTTTAAACTGATTATCATTAAAACTACACTGCTAAGGAATGATTATCTCAACTTTTCTAGACTTCATGAATCCAAGCATGTAGTTGGTAGGTAAGCATCTCCAAGCCTGCTATTCAATGGATGAGTACCAGCAATAGAAGTTTGGGTTAGGCTGTTAGTAGGCCAACAGCTCTCACTGAATGTCCCACTGACTCTATCGCAGCTCAACAAGTCTTTCTGTTCTTCTTGACCTGCCTGCGGCAGCACTCACTGCTCACAAGGCAGATGTGATCTACTCTACATTCTCCAACCCCTGCAGATTTTAAATTCTTCTCATTTTCTGCATATAAATAGCAATCTGTGTTTCCAGCAGTTGAGTGGGAGCCACCCTGATTGTGATGCCTATATTTAGCTATTCTGAAAGGAAACTTTCAGGGTCATTTTGAATATGTCATTGTTTATTCTTGAAAGGCTTGCATGTGATTTTAGCACCTAGGAGCAGTGGCCGGTGTAGAGCCCTGAGGGGAAAACCTGTCCAGGAACAGACATGGTGTGCAGAGCAAAGACTGTGTCCAGCATTCATGACCAACACCAAAAGCTGCAAAACCGAATCCTCTGTGTGGACAAAGACAGTGAAAAAAAAAGTTTGTCAATTTGATAGAAAAGGGAGAAGGAAGGGACATGCGAAAATCCCCTTTAGCTGTAACAGAAAGCTGTCGAGTAGCAGCCAGGAAGCGGTGTGCTCTGCAGTGTTTGTTCCCCTGACGATGCTGGGGCTGCCCAGCTGACATGGGGAGAGCTTCTAGCCCAAGAGCCCAAGGAAAGCACAGATCCACACATCTGTGTAAATGTTCTTGCATATCAGTGGCTACAACGGGGATTAAAATTACGTCCTATGAGGCCTGCTGGAAGAAGTGCCACTTCCAAGCCAAGCCTTGTCTCTATGAAAGCAGCCTCATGAATCAGAGAACTGTAACTGAGTGCTTCCCTGCATCTGCACTGGTGAGATTAGGAGCCAAAGCCTTACGTAGGTTGGCTTCACAAGCAGCTCCAGCTCTCTCCTCACCAGGCTGATGCTGCAGTAGTCCCTGACCATGGCAGAGGAGCTGAGGCAGATCACAGCCACAACAGAAATTGTGTAGGGAGAGTGCAGGATGGAGACCCTTGAATTCCCTTGCCAGCAGCCTCTGTCTTTGGCTGGGGAAAAAAAATATAAACCTCCCCTAACACTACAGGAAAAATATCTCAAGCAGGAACTGTGCTATGAGTACTTGGATAGCTTGTCAATGCAGTAGGGAATATTAAAAGGTAGTGCTTCATACCAGAACCTCGTGAATGACATAAGAAGGAAAGATCTTAGACAGTTATTATTATTTTTTCTTCCATGATAGTTTTAGCTGAATCATGAAGGAATTTGAAACATTATGGAGAGTGCACTAAAAACAGAAGATGAGCTAAAAGGATTTGGCAGTACTTAAATGCATTTCAGCTCTTCCCCAGACTATGATGCAGTCTATAGAAAATGCAAGCACACTTTGCCTGGAGACATCTAATGCTACAAATTAGGTGTAAGAGTGAGCTGATGTAGTAATCCTGAAATGCTATAGCCAAGTGCGCTCTGAAATATGCCTCTTACACTATTTTAAAAATACTTGTGTTGTTACAGTGCATATGAAGATTGCTGGGCAGCCAGCTCCAAATAGGCACAGAGAGGAGAGCTGCAGAGGCAAGTATCCCCACAGCACATTGTCAGTGGGCCTCTCTCCGAGGCGCGGCAGCCCCATTAAGGATTTGTCCTTGTGTTTTGTCCTGTCCTGTCGTCTGGCTCCCTTCTGAACCTGCCAACAAGTGCTTTTGTTGGTTTATTTCTTCATACTTGATTGATGAGTTTTTTCTCAGATACCATTGCTAGCAATGACTTTGAGACATGGTTCCTTTAGACGGCAATGTCCAACCATCTTGAGCATTTAATGTTTTCACTATCTGAATGTGTATTTTCAACTGACTTTATCATTAATATAAGAAATTTTAAGCCTTTGTAATGAGAATTATAACTTCTGTAATACAGAGTCATACACTGTAATTGTAGCATAATTTAATGCATGAAGTTTCGTAGACAGCTATAATAGATATTTTATGGTGAACAGTTTTTTCATAGAGAAACCCAATATTTAAAATAATCAATTTATTAATATATCTAATAGCAAAACTGGAAAGCATTTTTCTCATTTTATCTGTGACTGAGAAAACAAAAAATATGTTATTTCAAGTATGAAAATTTATTAGAGAAAAACAACTTCAGATCCCTGTGTACGTCCTCCCACCGGGTGTATCCCTGTGTATATCTGCTATGTCTGAAGCTGTCATTGAAGTTAATGGCATGTCTGTTCATGAAGGAGTTGTGAAATTGGATAATTAGTCTGTCCTGAAACTCTCTAATTGTCCTTAGTGAAGGCGGCATATGCCTCTCTTACTTTGGTGTCTTAGATTCTTAGTTGTACCAGCAGAACTGCTGCAATTGCATTCTGGCTCTAATTGTCTGTGGAAGTCTATACAACAAGTTATGATTTGTCTTTGTAGGAGTAGTGAAGGCTTAAAAATGATTGTCTGAAACACTGAACATCACTATTCTGTGTGTCTCTTTCATTTGAGGTGGTGGTAAATGAAACTGAGCAGTTCACCTTAGCAAGGAAAATATTCAGGACTCAGCCTGAGAGGGCCCAGGATATCCTGATCTTGGGCCCTGCTTTGAGCAGCAGGTGAGACCAGGTATCTCTAGATGTCCCCTCTGAGCAGGACTCCACTCTGGTTCTACAATTCTAAGTTAATGCTACCTAAACTATCACAATAAATCTAACAGAAAAATTGCCAGCTACTCACCATCAGCTGGAAATCACTATGGTATACAGTAGTTTGGATTTGGACAAGGAGGAAAATTTCAGCCCCCACTGAAAAAAGGGTGCTTTTAGTATTATTGACCAAATTATTTTCCTGATCTTGGAAGAAGCACCGATTTTGTATCCCAAGTAGGATTTGCCCCTCTGAATTTTAGCCATCTAAAAGTGAGGTAACTAGTCTGAGTCATCTTTACTTTGTCTAGAGTTAATGGAGAGAAAATGTCATCTCCAGTTAATGCTACATGCCACTTAACTATGACAAGGTGAAATGCCCTTTGATGTGTCTAGCACGAGGGAGCCCAGACAGCTGGCTTAACTGTGAATGTTCTCAGTATCTGAGATCATGTGAGGTGCAGAAGAGATTACAGTATAAATGTGCAAATCCAGCCTAAGGTGCAAACACACTTACCACACCAGATAAGCTTCACTTAAGTGTAGGCACCTGTGTAGCATCATATAAAAAATCTTCCTGCAAGAGGTTTAGAAAAGGATTTCAAAGAGCAAAAGCAATTGTTTAATACGTGAGAAGAAGAGAGTGCTTCTGGCAGACTGTAACAGGGATGGAATTATTGCATCCACCCCTCCTGCTACCTCCACCCCCAAAATCTGAAAACTTCCTGATTTGTGTTCATCAATAATTAAAAGCCCATCAGCAATACTCAGAGGGAGCTTGCATTGCACTTCTGAGCAGCCAGCTAGTAATGTACAGTGGAGAGATCCTCTTTTTCAAATCCCAGGGCTCCAGGCCATGCAGTGCTAGTATTGCATTTTCAATTAGCTTCTGAGTGAATGCTTGGCATACATAGAAGTGAACTGGTACACAATTAGCTTATTGTTCCTTTCAGCTTTGTGCTGAGAGGATCTGAAGGACTGCAAAAGAGAGGAGAGAGGGGAAAGAAAAGAAAACAGCCAAGCCAGTGGCATCTCCGTGGATGTGGAATACAGGAGTTGCTGGACTCACGCAGACTCCCGTGCTAGGTTGGGCGTTACAGCTGTTACCGAGGGGCCCTCAGCCTGGCTGTGGGGAGAGTGCCTGGGGAGAGGCACAGACTGACTTTCAAGCTCCAGGCTCTTCTCTCATCTGACTCACCTCAGCACCACGATGGAGCCCAACAGTCCTAAAAAAATACAGTTTGCTGTGCCACTGTTTCAGAGTCAAATAGATCCTGAGGCAGCGGAGCAGGTAAGGAAGATGGATTTCTTTGGGTGTTTTGAGGGAATGGGGTAGGAATTGGGGCAAGATGTGGGGTGAGAACAGGTAAAAATTGTGGCCTAAATGCTTTTCTGACTTATATTAGTGTAACTATAGATTAAATGCTCTGGAGGTTATAGCGATGTCTGAATACACCCAAAGAGGGAGGAGGATATGTCCTCTAGCCAGACGAAGGCTTCTTTACCTTGGGCGGGTTTATTCAGTATATATTTGTTGTGCCTTTTCTGTAATGGGACTTGCACCCTAGTACATACATTTCACATGAATACACATTCTTAACAAATCAACTAAAGTATATTATTTGTACATAAAAGAACACATGAAGCTGGTAATAGGTAACTAATGGAAATATTGTGCAGAAGACAGCTTATTTGCCATTAATTTTAACATGAGTAAATACGAGTTATGTTTTGCACAATAGTTATCACTTCAGTTACCTCCTGTATTTCTCCTAATTTTTTTACAGTCTTCTTTATGTAATTGTTACATTGCTTTATATATTTGAAAAATATGTATGTGTAGAAATATGCCTGACTTATGTCCATGTTGGAATTGTGTGTGTGCTATTTTAGGTTTTGACTCACTCCCAAAACATACACACACACATAATATATATAGCAATACGGATGTCTAAGGAGGAAAAGATATCTATTATTGTATACAGATATGCATAGATGTGCATAAAGAAGGACACAGGGAATCTTATGAGAAAAGCTGGATAAATCGTAATTAGGTGACCCAGTATATTTATCTCAGTGCAAGTCCTTCTTGACATTTGCTTCTATTTTGGTAAGTCTAGTTTTAGATGATACCAGTGGAATATTATAACCTTGACAGTTCTATGCCATTAGCTATAAAATCATTTGCACCTTTAGGACAGGTGTCTGGTTTCCTGAATATTCTGATGTCGTGTCTCTTAGAAGGCAGCTGCCTTTGCCAGAAAGTAATGAGTTGTGACTACTGAACGACAAAATGCTAGAAGGGTGCAGGGGAGAATCCCTGTGAGTCTTTATTTTTTCCATAGGTACTTCTGAGCTGCAAGATGTCCATACTTTATGGAACAGTCCTGCAATGAATTCGAGCAGGATGTGATCTGATATTTTTCTGAAATCTGTGAGAACCATAGGATTAGGTATCCTGGAATTCCCCTGGCTTTTGAAATGCTGTGGCCCAAATTCTGCCCAGTATTTACGGACAGTCCTTTTTTTTTTATGTTGTGAGTTTAGTTCCAAGTGCTATACAATTTCATTGTGGGTGTGTGATGAAATTAAAGTAGTAAATTCTGCTGTCAACTGCAGTTACACTAATCTGGAATAAACCCATTAACCTTGATGATATGATTTTCCATTTACACCTCTGAGAGCAAAATTTGAACCCAGCTAAATTCGGATGTTGGCTCAGCAACTAAAAAAGAACAAATGCACCGTCATTGAGGTTTTGTGTCATAGTGGTTTCTAGCTTAAATACTCTTGGTCCCACTCTTAAATTCAATAGAATATCAATAGCCTGGAGGCTTTGATGAAGCGACACAAAGCTTTCAATGTAAATACGTGCATTATAGGAGGGTAGTCCAGTAGCATGCAGTTCAACCAGTGTTAATGAAACAAAAGTACTGAGTAAGTTCTGAGTAAGAAGAATTACATACAATTCAGGATTATATATTGATATGTAAAGATCTGTTGTATAGTGTTCTTTGAAAATATTTTTTTGAAATTCTTAAATATTGTTTTTCTTTAGTTAAATAACAGTAGTAACACCTCTGGCTGCAGTTTTGAAATATAAATTCATTGGAAGGCATAGATGCAATACCAGCTTTCAAGTGCACTTGCAATTCCTTGTGAGAGCTATGAAAGTACTAAGCATTTGCACGTAAGCTCACAAACTGCTGCAATTATTTTACTGAAGCAAAGCTAAACATCAGTATTTTAAGATATGACTGATACATGTCAGCAACACATGTCCAAAATCTTATTTAAGATGATTACAAATCCTTAAGGTATTCTGGAAAACTCTCTCCTCTGCCTCTGCTTTCCATGTACAAGCAGCAGCAGGACCCTGATCGTTGTCAGACTAGACAAACAGTCAGTAAGACAGTGACATGCTGCTGTTCTTTAAATATTTTCTTTTTAAATTTTGCCTGGTCTATAGTCAGGAGTGCACCAGATGGATATTTTGTGTTGCTTCGGGTGCAGGGCAGCTGGTGGACCCTAATGATTCTCCTTGGTTTATGCATGTTACAGATCAGGAAAAGAAGGCCTACACCAGCATCGCTCGTCATCATGAATGAACACGTGCCCCCAGGTAAGTGCCAACATACCTTCTAAACCATTGAACTCGTATACACAAGATTGTCTGAAAATTAGTTTTATTAACAACATGTTTTTAAAAATCCAGCATTAATTTCATAGCACTACATATCAAACAGTGGATCTTATAACAGTTTGGAGGAAACCCTATGGATACGTGTAACTCTTGGCTTCCAGATAGTGCCAATTATTTCAGGATTTTATCCTCCATATAAATCTTTTGTTTTATGTACAACAACAATGATCCTGATACAGCCCTTCCATCTACAAACCTTTTCTTTTCCCGGGTGGATACTCTGGAGATCCATGAAGTCCTAGTCTTGGTTTTCTGATCTCTAGAGATACCAGAGTTGCTCCAGGGTTAATTCAACAAAGTGAATTGCTTCTTTAAAAAGGGTTGTTTTCTAGCTTTCTGATGAAACATATGATGTCTGTTTTCATTATTCCTTTTCGACTGCGAATACATTATCTTCATCCAAGACTTCTCCCAGATGATTTTCCCTGGGGTGGGATGATTTGTGATTGCAACATACTTTGTCACATAAATGTGACTTCAGAAAGACTCTTGAATAGCTGTTTAGGGAGTATTATAAGTAAAAATGGATTGCAGGAAAAAGTCCTCAAAACATAATCCCTTTGAAACACACCACCTACTTTATATCAAACTTTTCTTTTTCATAGTACTCTACTACATTTTTTCCCACCTTATCTCTTCATCACTCAAATCTTTTTTTAGAAGCAGTTCAGGCTTTTTCTCACTGATGGATCCCTTAGGTCCCTACTGTATGAACTGGTACCTCAGTAGGACAGAACCATCTTAACTCTGTTAGGATCTCCACTTACTGCACTGTGTTGAGGGTCTTCACTCAGAAAGTGCAGAAAGAAACCTTTAGAGAGCCCTGCTCTTGGGGATGAGATCATTGCAGCACTTAGATTAGGGAGGTTAGAGCGCACCATATGGCTATGGTTATGTTCTTTTGACACTGAAAGTGACCCAGGAAAGGCTAACTCCAATCCCAGTTTGGAGAGTAGCTTTCTGACCTGAATTTCAGGCATTTCAGCTCTCAGTAATGGTGCATGAAAGATCCGCCTTAGACCAACTTTCCTTACCTTAATGGCATCTACAGTGTCTGTGTTGCTAGGACTTAATTTAGAGAAAATTCACCTTGACTGTTAATGTCTTTTGCAATTCACTTTGTACACTTTGTACCGTCATGTTTCCTTTTATAAACAGATACTTGGTACAGTACCAAATCAAAACCAAATAGAGAATAAGAACTCATTTTAATTTACCGGAAATTTTCCTGTAAACAAAGTGGTGCATGTCTGTTATCTCCTTTCCTGCAATGTTCATAATAAATCTTTAAATAAATAATTTTATTATGAGTCAGGATTGCTGCAAGTATCAGTCAACTTCCATATAAACCCAAGAGTTTGTATATTCACCTTCTTCACTTATTTATATTTATTCATTTAGATATCACCTCTTACTAGATATTGGGAACTAATATCAATGAAGGTATTCCTGGTTAAATTACAATCTTGCCATGTTTTTTAATTTTCCACGAACTTAGATAAAAATAAAAACTTTAAAAGCACCTCACCATGTAGTTTATGCATGAGTATGCGCGTGAATATTTCCTTATGGTATGCTTGGTATGGGCAAGTGTTTTGAACAGGGTGTGCACATGTAGCTGTGTAAACCTGCTGAATACAAAGACTGCAAAGCCTAATTGGAAAGGTAGAAAATAGCTTTACAATGGAAGTTTAAATAGTAAAAAGTTCCTTATGGGCTTGATCTTGCAAGGTGCTGTGCAGTTTCTGAAATTATTGTATACATTCAACTTTCAGAGGAGTCAGCTACTCCTAGGGGCTCTTAACAGCTTACCAATTAAACTCCAAATGCTAGTCTTTTATTGGATTTTGAAGAGAATTCAGTGGGATACTGAATAACATTTTGTCTCCAAAAATGTTAAATTCACCATGTTTACTGTGAATAAAATAATAATAGTAAGGGTGTGAACTTGAAAGTCCAGCAAATTGCTTCAGCAGCATGATTCCTGAGGTCAGCAGGGAAACTGAGCAGCAGAGAATTTAAGTGGTACAGTCAAAGCGACCTATTAAATTAGAGCTGGGCTAGACCAGAATCCTGTCTCTTGAATTTTACCCAACGGAGTACTCCAATTCCCTCATTAGGAGCAAACAACTAGTGAAGGATATGCTTCCAGGGGTTTAAAATGTGTGTCCTAATGCAATTCTAAATGTTTGGATGCCTCTGCAAAGTTTATTCAAATTATCTAAACTTCTTTTATTTTGAAAAACAGAGACATTTTCTAAGAATTGGACTTTTCTATAGCCTTCTTTTTGCAGCTGCTTCTGATTGCAGCAGGAAAAAAACAGCATTTTTGTGGTATTCTGGTGTTCTGGATGCAGACCCATCTGGAAACCAGAAGGCAGTAAAATGTGTTTGGACGTTTCAGAACTTTATAATAAATTCAGTTTGAGTTGTGCCATACAAAGATCTAAAATAGTTATTTTCTTCTAAGTCTTCTCATCCATCCTTGCTGTGTACTACAGCTTTAACAGGAATCTGTCTTCACTGATTTAGATCAGGTCCATTGTGCTATAAAGTGAAGATGGAATATCTACTAAGGTTATGTCATATTAAACCAATGACAGCTGCTCAAAAACTGTAAGAAGGGTCTGCTTGGCTTCCTTGCTTCCAAGGAGACAATAAGAGCTAGACCACACTAAATGATTTAAAGACAGGTGGTTGGTGTAACCTGGACTAATGTCCAGCCTTTAGTATAATTTACTGGTGCATTTTCATAATATATAATTGCAATCAAAGTCAACAGAAAAGAAATTTGAATTGCACCAGCAACAATGATTGCAGTGGACAACATGGGCTTGTGAAGCAACACAGCAATGAATAAACCCTTACCTCTTTCTGTAAGTGCTCTGTGAAGTGCTCTAAAATGGATTATGTCACATCTGGGCAAAGAAGCTAGCACTAGAAAACTGAGACTTGAGCTGTGAAGTTACTTAACTCTGTCATGTATCATTGCCATCAATGGACATATATTTTGTGAGCATCTGATATGTGATTTCATAATATCTAATAAGTTTTACTTTTATTTGAAATTACAAGATTCTTTTAGTAACTGTGAAAGCAAAAACAAAGATTAGTGGACAGAACTACAAAGCCATGCAGCATCTCATTCTATGCAGGGTTCCTGTATGTCTTACTGGGATAACCCATTCCTATCCTGTTACAGCCACAGTTGCTCCATGTCTGTATTTTAAAAAAGGAACATAAACATATGCTTAGTTTTAAAGACACATTTAACTATTAAGCTGCATAAGAGCTTAATCCAAAAATTTTTGAGGCTCTCCTGCTTCCTCTTTTTCTTGCAATATCATTGGAGTCACCAGAAACTGAAAATCATCATACTCTGAAAGCAACCTTTTCTGCACTGCCATAATATACACACAACCTCCCGTCTCCTTACCAAGCACAGCAGAATATATATGAAAATCAATTCTTATTATCTGAAATAAAAGTCTAACCATGCTTTAAACTAACAGAGTATCATACTGCGACAACTCAAGAAAAAGCTGGTGGCAATGTAGAGGAGTGACAGTTGAGGGAGGAAAACGTGTAAAACATCTCAGACCACAACTCAGGTTTAATGCCATTACGGCTCGCTTTGATCAGAAAACAATACCAGCATTCCTGTATGGCCTGGCTTTGTCAAAGAGCCAACACAACATCAAACAGTCTGGCTGGCAAAGGCTGTTCAACTTGTGTCAAAGTGTTCGGTCTTCTTGAAGCATTAGAATATGGATAAACATTAGGATAAACTTCTGCATTTCTGAACCCTGGTCATATTTGCTGTTTCCAACTCTCCTTTCTACTCAGTTGCATGTTTTGGCTTCCTTGCTTGTAATGTAAATGTTACTTGGTGTTTGGAAATAAGGAAAACATAGCAACATGTTTTGATAATTCTTCTCCAAAGCTGCTTTTTTGTATTGTGCAAATCTCATTTCAAGGCAGAAAGGGTATATTATCATTGCAAAAGCAATATAAAACATACCTTCCAAGTACAACTCAGTACATCTGAGTTTTCTGAAGGCTGGAAATCATAACTTGAAAATAAGTAAGCTGTACTTGTCTCCAAACAAGGAACTTGCAGCTTGTCTTTGGGCATTAGTAGTTTTTGTATCTTGTTCCCAGCTGTTTTTCTGTTGTCCAGACAGGGATTCACAGCTCTCAGCTCACTGCCAGTTCCCCAGAGGTCTGCTGAGATGCCTCAGGAGCAACCTCAATATTTAGTGCAGTAGCAAACACCACAGACAGATGGGTGATGAGAGGGAAAACTGTCCTTATACCTGTGGCAATCCCATGACAACCCGAAGTAGATTAGGTTTTTCATGCTGAATTGATTCTAGACACCCCTGGGCTTTCCTCGTACAGTAAATATCATTACCATGTATAGATGTGCTTTCTGATGATGCAAACTCTACCAGCACCACATCTTTGAGGGGATAGATGCAATATACTCTACCCAACATTAATTTTCGTGACTAATATTTGTTAGATTATGCTTCTAGGTGAATCATAGAATCGTTTTGGTTGGAAAAGACCTTTAAGATCATCGAGTCCAACTGTAAACCTAACACTGTCAAGTCCACCACTAAACCATGTCTCTAAGCACCACATCTATGTGGTGCTAATGTGTTGAATCTGTTTGTTTTACATCTAATGGTCACATTTTGTTTTCTCCCAAGAGAAAATAAACTGGGATCAAAAAAGACCTGCTGGGTAGGAGGCAGCTGTTTCTGGGCATTGTAAAGCAGTCCTGCTACACTGTCTTAGGCAAAAGTCTCACTAAAACTTGAATCAGCAGAGAACTCTTGGTCTCGCAGTTCATGAAAATTGATATGTTTTTCAAAAGCTTGAGATTCTGGTAGGACATACTGCTTGCTTTGGTT